CAAGATTCTCGACGACCACCTGTGACATGCTCAACAGTTCGGCTGTTGATGTTACATTTAGCTGAAAAAAAAAATATTACACAGAGAAATACAGAGGAAAAAAAAGCCGATTCTGAGAATTAAGAATGAAAAAAAAACAAGTAACCACGTCAGAAGCTGCAATGGAGGGATGACGTTGCGAAGCATCTCCCGATACATGTCCTGCTTCCTGCCCATCAATACTGGCGATGTCAAGTGAAGCGATTTTCGCTGCCAATTCTTGATCAATCACGCTTTTCGATGCATACTTACCCTGTGCCAAAAATGCAGCCACTCTGTCATTCTAGAAATTACCCAAGAAATATTATAATTTGATTGGTGAAGATATTCACCTTTTTCAACCAAAACAAACCCACTCAGGAAGCTACGAAAAAACCCGGGAGGTGCCAATCAAGCAAATGCTATTTAAAGAATGGACCCTTTTAGAATCCACGAAGGAATAAGCAAAATTTTCAGTTATACTAGTAATGAGAGCAACAAGATAAAAAGGCAAAAATAGCATACAGCTTTTTTTTCAGCCAAAAAAAAACGACCCACTTCACGATCGCACCGAAAAGTATTCCATTCGGAGGCATCATCATCAGTTAAAGCAGAACCGCCCAGATTGACGTCGAGATTATTCTTCTCAATAATTTCATACAGCTCTTTTCGAAAAGCCTTACCTTCTTTGCCGAACTATAATATTTCTATCGTTTTATTATTTATTTTTCTCCTATATTTTTTGAATACTGAGTCTGCCTCGCCTAACCACTTCTTTTTGCCCAGTAAAAAAAGCTCTGGCCAAAACCTGGTCGGTTTTCTAAACCGTTGTATTACTAAAAATTCAGCTTCCGTTGTTTAGTTGAAAAAAACCATGATATCAGCAATTTTACGCGAGGGAGGGGGGGAGGGGGGTGAAATATGTTCGCGTTCACTGAATGAAGCACTGAATTAGGCTTGTTCGGCTGCTTTGAAACATAAACACAACAACTTACCTCGTTCAGGCTATCCAGTACTTCTTGCGCGCACAAATGTAAGTTAGTGGCATCATGTCGCAAAGTGCTGCTGTCTTCCTGAAGAACGACAAATTTTAGTTAAAACTACCTTTTTTTTAAAGGATGAAATATCTTGAACGGTTTGCAGTACCTTTTCTCTGAGGAGTAACCGGATTGAACGATCACGTCTCCGCAGTTCGATCTCAGCCTGCGCCGATTTTTGTTCCATCATCTAAAAATTTGTTATTAACTTTAAAACTAAATTAGAATTAACTTGCTGAAATTAAAAAATTAAATTAAAAAACTCTCAGTAACTTCATCGAAGCATCACATCGTGAGATATCTATCTATTACTAAAATGCAGCACTATTATATGCTCATCAGCTAAACGATACATCTGGACAACTAGAACTTCCATAATTCAAAATTTGGCTTTTCAACTGTACAACGAGCAATTTTTCACTTGTTCCCAGCCTACAGGCACTACTGACCCCACTCCCTTTCCTGAACGAACTACCAATTGAATAGCTTTTTCAAAAAGTTGACAAAAATTTGGTTGTTTCGAGACGTCCACGGCCTGTGTTCAGCGTCATAATCTAGTCCAAATGCTGCCATCCCCACGATACAATGAAAAAAAAAAAAAAAAAACAGACAAAATTATATGCATTTTGGGCATATACAAAATTACATTTATTTTTTTGGCCTTTCACCAACCTGCGTCATTTCCTCCAGTTTTCTTTTGCTGTCCTCTTCACGTTGCTTCATTTCGGCCTGTAACTGGGTAATTTCGGCTTCGAGCTTGGTCCGTATTTTCTTTTCATCTATGCTTTGCTGGTAGACCGTCGCGCGCAGTCGCTCTATCTCCCTGCAAGATTTCCAACACAAAACTAGCACAAAATTCAAGCACATACGGGCTTTACAACAAAAGTCATGCACGTGACTTTGATCTTACGACACGAATATAATTTCCAAAAAAAAACCTCACTGTAAAATAAGGGGGAATTACTTCACGCCCTCGTAAAAGAAGGGAAAGGAGGGAAAAAATAGCCTCACGCCCCACTTCTGATGGACGTAGCACAGAATTACGTGAAATATTGTATCCATTGATTTCTTGAAGTGAATAACTTGAAGCTATGTCAAAAAGAAGACCAATGACCAATGAAGACGACCAATCAATGATGCACAAAGCTAGAAAACAAAAAAACAAAACTAAACCCCTGCACAACTTACATGCCTCTATCTGACAATAGTGAAATATTGCTTTCGGAGCTATCCGCCTGGCTGCTTTCACAACCATCATCTTGCTCACGTGCTCCTTGACGAAGCTGAAAATCATTTTGAAGTAAAATCCATGCAAACAAACATATATACATCAACACAGAATCAAGTACATCTCCTTAAACAGCTTAGCAAGTTTCCGTGTCTCAGCCTCTCACGCTACAGCCCCCTTTTACGCACAAGAAAAGAGGAAACGGTGAAAATATTGGGTCTCACTGGCTCTCACATTCTTAACTCGAAACTGGGGGATCTAGAAGGGGTTCGTCTCGAGTTCTATTAAGCTCTCTCATCTAAATCTAAATTTCTTCCATTAAATTTAAAGTTGGCAAAGGCGGGAAGCTAAAGCGAAAAACAAAAAGCGATTCAACCGGACCCATAGTAGAAAACCAACCGCGGCCAGGTAAACTAGACTGATTTCAAAAATTTTTTTTGGCTAAATAATAGATAAACGGCGGAAACGATTAGATAAAATTTCAAAAATTCAAGAAATTAACACAAAACTTTAAGGTAAGTAACACAAAAAGTTATACAATAAATTCGCACCTCATTCAGCTCGGACTGGAGTTTATCTTTATCAAGGAGCAGCTTGTCTCGTTCCAGTTTCACTGAACCAAATTCTGCCTTGTTCTCCTCGAGTTCCTTCTGACACTCCAGCAACTCATGTTCCATTTGCAACCGGCGTTTTACTTCTCTATCCAGTTCTTCGCACACTGCCAAATACTAAAGGAAAAGAGGCAAATGAGTTATCATCCTGGATCTTCCAAGAGTTTCTGTCTTAAATCACAATGTATTCAGCTACGCTGGATTTCCTACGACTGGCATGGCTCACTACTTCACGAGGTAAGCTTCAGCCTATGTACCGCCGCAAAACACT